ACCTCTTTTACAAACATTTTCAATTCTGGTGGATGCAAATCGTTAATTAATATCAACAATATAAATGCATCTAGCATTTGATTATTTGACCATTTATAAAGTATATCCACGATCCGGCCATAGTAAGACTCTACGAATTCTTCCGTAAATATCCTGTTATTCATAAAACTTTCTCGAAGCCGATCTTCAAATCCAATTGGTCTAAAATGGGTTAGAAAGGCATTCTTTAAGGCCTTTCAATTAGAAAATCTACCCACTTGTTGTCAAATATACCATTCAAAAGCTGTATCTTTTAAAGTTAGTAACAACTATCTCAACTAAATGTCTTTAGTTCTACCATTATTAGCCATGTAGGTTGTCAAAAATTGAGATATATGGTCATTGGGATCAGAGCCTGGCCAACCAATAAAAGTAGGTAATGGTGCCACACTTGTAGTTTGGTCTCCTACTGCTTCCATTTGTACTGCAATTGGTACTTTTGGCACTTACGCGGCCATTGGTGTTATCACTGGTCTCCTTACTATTTGAATCTGCATTTTTCTTCCTTTGGTTTTACTTGGATCTACAATTCTTTTTTTTTGTCATTCCCGCAGGAGATTTCTTACACGTAATCACTCCTGTCTTTCTTTCGCTTGTCGATTAATTCTTTGATAATCCTCTCCTTCATGAATATCACTCATAATCTTTCATTCTTTCCGACAAAATCAATACTGCCTTCAATTATAACTCACATATTTGTAATCCTAAAATTGGTTCTTTTCACGTTCTCATTCAATATACAATTCCATCTCTCATACAATCAATTTCTAACATTTCATGTTGTTATCATTTCCCCGACAGTGATGCCAAAATGTTGTTCTCGTTGCATTCAAGCTTTAGTAGACTAAAGCAATTGAACTAATAGAGGTCGGTTCGAACACGGGAAAAGACTGATTATATGAATTGGATCTGTTAGTGTCACAATTGACTGTACTCTAGCTATCTGAAATCAATTATCAAACTACGAAATACCAAGGCTTACTACTTCCATCTTAATTCAACTTATAATCCATTCTATGATTATCAATTCAATAATACTTCTCTCAATCACAATTCTTCATAAGCAATTAATAGAGAAAAAAAAGAGGTAGTACCAAGCTTACCTCGGCTTACGACTCTCAGTCCGGCTCTCGGCTTACCTTTCCTCAACCTATTTATCCAACCAAAAGATGATTCATCGGCCAGCGGATTCCAAAGGTTATGACCCTTTGAATTCTTAACCATTTATTCCACTAACCACATATTGCTACCAACTAAACTACCTAGCCATCAATCTAATTCTCAAGGTTGTCAATAACCAACCAGTAACTTACTACAAAGTTTATTTAACTATTCTACAAGCATCTTTTCTTATATCTTTTAATATGTTAGACTATGTAATTATTAATAAATAATTATTATATTTAAATAGTGACATCATGTCTTTTTATATTTATGACCCTTCATATTTTAGATTGACATCCACCTTTGTAATATATACTTTACAAGAATTAACAAATATCATTATAATATATATATATATATTACATGATTAGAGCATCAAATATGATTTTATGTTATAATTAATTTAATAATTATAAGTAAAAATAAACATTCATATCATATATTATTTATTTATCTAATTAAAAATTAATGAATTTGGCTTCTTCAAATTTAATTAATAAGATGTATTTAGTAGAAAAATTACTGATTTTTTATTATAATTTATAAAGTATTAAAATAAAAATTATCTTATTTTAAATTATCTTTTTTGTCTTGTAATAGAACTTGACCTTAATTCTACAATTGTTGCATTACAAAGTAAATGGAAAATTAAAGATGTTAAAGCAGGAGCATATATTATATTATAATTGGTGATAAATAAGCTAACTTGGTAAAAAAAATATAGAATAAGTTAGAATTTACATATGAAAAAATTAATATTGTAATATAAGTCATGGTACAAAAATAATTATCTCAATTAGCTATAAGTAAAGAAATAACCATAGTAGAATTTATCAAAGAGATTCAAGGAATTTTTCATAAATTTTTAATATTAAGACTTATTACGTATAAAAAATAGTAATATATAAAATTATTAAAAACTCTACTTTTTTTATAGAGGAATTTTTTTATAATAAAAAATTATAATATAAAAAAAAATTAATCTAATTTGATTTGAAGAATTTTAGAAGAAGCTTTAATGCAATAATATGAAGACTCTAAACAAAGTTTAAATAGAACATTTAAGTCAAGAGTTTTTTTTGGCAAGAAGTCAATCCAAAAAAAATAATTAAAAATAAAGAATTTTTTTGAATAACTATAAATTTAAAAAATAAATCCAATGAAGCACAAGATATTAATTAAATAGACTTTTGTTAACTATTAGAATATCATCATTGTGGTAAAGCTATCAAAGTCATGAATCACAAAGAATCAATAGACTCTTATATTACTTAAAAAAGATAATAACTAAATATTAATCACTTAAAGATGGTATAATATTAAACTAACCATCTTTAAGGATCAATATACTCTTATGTTACTTATCATCTTTAAGTGATTAAAAGTGATTATTTGTTGCATACCTCATTCTTATTACCAATTTTTTTAATCAAAAAAGAATCAAAATTGAGATTAATTAAGATATTAAGTAGAATATTAATTGAGATTAACATGCTATTTTTAAATATTTTTAAGAGAAAAACCATACAAAAGCTCTAATTGAAGAAAACTTATGAAAGATGTGTCATTTAGAGAAATTAGATTAAGTATTTTTTTATGATTGTGCTTCTCATATGTGCTCTCAAACAATGTTGTTAGCTTTGCAAATGAGCTTCTTAAGATCATGTCTAGCTTTTGTACACGAGTTATAGTTAAAATAGTAGAATTGCCTTATTTGTATCAACAAAAACTTCATCAAAGATCACAATCCATGCAAAGAGATTGAAGCAGCATCAATGCAAATTTAAAATTAATCTATTAAATAATTTTTGAGTGATTTTATGTATCTCATTTTTTTTTATTTTTTTTTTATTTTTTTTAGAATAGACACAATGGTATATGATTGCATATTGTTGTTACATAGATGGTTTTTTTTTTTTAGAAGTTATATACCGCAATATTAGAAGTAATTTGTCTTCTTAATCTTTGTGCATTGAGGATAGGTTTAAGGATGGTTGTGGATAATGTTAGAACGAGCAATTGGAGAAATGAGAGCAATGAGCAACATTGTGTATACGTGTGCTTAGGTAGAAGAAAAATTCAGCTTCCATTCCATTTGTTGGTGAAAGATAATTACAACATTGAGAATAGGATTAAAGGAGAACTTACATAATAGGCATGTGGTTTCAGCCATGTCCTCTTGAATAGTGTTATTAGCTTTGCAAATGAACTTTTTAGGGTCATGTTTAGCTTTTTTATATGAATTGTAATTAAAATAGTAGAATTGTCCTACTTATGCCATCAAAAACTTTATCAAAGATCACAATATATATATAGGACTTGAAGTGGCATTGATGTAAACTTGAAAAGTGATTTATTATATGATTTTTGAAAAAAAACAAGCATATTTTTGCTATATTATAATATAATTACATAGAATAATAAAAAAAGTTTTAAAATAATATTTTATTATAGATATAAATAAAAAAAATAAAATGAGTGGCTTAGAACTTGTTTTGTATTTAGTTATCTATAATTTTATTTAGAATCTTCTTTTGTAAGTAAAATAGTCTTTATCTAAAAGTAATTTTTGAAACTTTTTAAACCTAATATAAATTGTATCTCCTTGATATTATGGTCCCTCAAGATAATGGAGGAGATTGAGATTCCATTGTTGTAGAAGAATTTTGATATGGAAGTGACCAATTATATTTAAAAAATATGTGATAATAAGCCAAAGATAGTATAAATGTGAAGTGGAAGAAGACAATGTCTGTGCAAAGCATATATGAGTCAATTTTCTTTTCTAGGATGTATGAATTTCAATTGCGAATAATTTGTGATTTATTTTATTGAATCTATCATTAAACTTTGCAAAAGATGCTAGAGGAAATTTATGAAGAGATGTATGAGTTAGAAGAGAAAAAAACAATTTGTCTAAAAAAGAAGACAATTCAATTATAAAACAACATATTTTCTATGACAATGATACGAATTTGTTTAATTATTAGATATAAGATAAAACAACTATCAATTTCTTTTTCTATATATTTTCTATATATTTTTGTTATTACTATCAATGATTAGTCTTTAGTTTGGATAGATTTTGTTGATGAAGAGTAATAATCTTTTTTAGTATTTTTATGAAATACTTTAATATTTTTTATTTTTATTTATTAATATTATATTTATAAAAATATACTATATTTTTTAATTTTTTAAAATTAAAGACTTATTTCTTAATTTAAAGACTTTACAACCAAGAATTAAAATAATTGCTTCTATAATTAAATATAGAGCAATTTTTTAAATTAAAACTTATATAATTTTAAAGTTAATGTTTTTAATACATATTTTAAATTTTAATATATACATATATATATATATATATATATATATATATAGACATATTTATCAATATAACATATTTTTCTTATAGCTTTAAATCCTTTTATTACCATTGTAATAACCATTTAAAATTGTACCATCTGATCTAATTACATCTTGTTTTATTTCTTGTTTTATTTTTTATATTAATGAGTAATTATATTTGGTTTTAACTATTAAAAAATCAAGTTTCTATAATAGACTCTAGTTTTTTGTTTAACTTAGTTAAATTCAAACTTTCACACCAATTTTATGCATTAGTTTTAAATATACTTCATAGTCAAAGTCAAAGAAAGAGAACGAAATGGTGAACACACTGTTTTTTAAAACAAAATATCTTCTTCTTCGACTTTTCTACAAAAACCAACAAACTGTAGAAGTAGGAAAAAGCTATATTGGTGAAAAATTTAATAAATTATGAGGAGCTCTAAAACAGAGAAATCACTACATGAGCCACTTTATGTTTCTATTTTGGTATTCTACCGTATCATCTAAATTCATGAGGACGAACATGAATGAATTAATGATGGACAGATCAGAACCTTATGGATTCATTTCAAACCGGATGCTAGAAATGAACCCTAGAACTGCAACTCGACAGTGAAAAAAGCAGTCTTAGATTGAAGAACAACCTCAGTTCACGGTGAAACAATTATGGTATAAATAAATACTGCCAGATTTGGTGCTTCCATTTCGACCTCCTTGTTCTGAGGACATTGATTATGAGTATCAATCACCTCAGACATTGTGAACTTCGACGACGACGACTCTAAAATAGTTAGTGACCAAGACTGCATGCGAGTCATATTGAGATTGATACGGTTCTTCCGTGTATTCCTGCAATCTTTCTCTATGATAATGCTCACCTTGTTCGGTTTTACACAGCAATGAAACAGTCTGAGCATCGTAGTCTCTTCCTGTTTGACTCTATCGGTTCTTTGCCTTATTTCATACTTAAAAACTGTATAACCTTTTTCTGCTCGGTTTGAAGCCAACCGTTGGATTTGCACAGATTATCTAATATTTCACCAACTAACTTGTACAGTGGGTGTGAGTCCACTGACAGCCCCCCTAGTTCGATTGAAACGACAGAAACGAAAAGAAGCGCTCAAACGATGTGTGAAGATTTACCAAAGCAGTTACGTTTTGACAATCCTGAAAATTGTACTGTGTGTAAGGTCACACAATCACAACACTTGGAGTTAGAGTTTGTTGTTTCCTTGCTACCCGCTTTTCTCGATCATTAATGACCTTGTACCTGGTTGATGGTTAGTCTCCATCGGGGTTGTTTTGATTGAGCTTCTCATGAGCAAGTCACCTTTCAAGAAGTGTCCTAGAAGTGAACGCGGAATCAAGAGAGAAAAGTTCAATTGTCGAGTAGACCTGTAACACGAAATTAAACATATAAGCACCATCACACTTCAAGTTTTATTTATTTATTTATTTATTTAAAATCTCTTTACTTCTTAATGAGATGAAAAAATTTCGTGCAGGATAATTAACCCTTTTTTATATCAATTTGAGCACAAGATTCATACCTTTTGAAGGTGGCTTCGAGTAAGTCGATATTATTCAGAAGTGAACCGTGGCAGCAGAACTGAAATTATTGTCACAGTGCGGACGTTGAAAGTGAAAGAGAAAAGCCGCCTGCTACCTGGTTGGAAGACAAGTGGTGGCTCAAACAAGCAACTCATGAGAAATAAGCTTTACATTGAATCCGTGCTGAAGATCAGGAAATGAGAACTCCGCAAAAACATCGACGAGGCTGGGAGCTCAGACATGGTGCTCAACATGATCGATGTGCAACCTCACGGATAATTAGATAAAATTTGATGACTCAAGTGTGTTAACCACTAGAGTGAGGAATGTGGAAGTCTAATTTACAATGATAGTGGCCAGAAACAAACCCAACTAATGTCATCTCTGTGAAAAGAGGAGAAAGAAGAAAATATATTGTAGTATACAGTTGTAATAATGATATTTATAAATTCTCCTAAAGTGTGTATTACAAAGGTTGATATCAACCTGAAATACAAAGAGACATAAATATGAAGGGACATGATGTCATTATCTAAATATAATAGTTACTTATTAACATCTCCCTTAATTTATATTTAGATTATCTACTAATTTTTGCTTTCAAGTCCATTGATTCTCTATATTTTAAATGTTTGGGTCTTGGTAAAACTTTTGTCAAAGCATCAAACACCATATCTAAATATCTTTAGTTGGATAGAATTGAACACAAATATCTCTATGGTGTGACATTTTTTATATCTTTTAAATTTGCCATATTTGTAAAAAATTTAAGATTTTTATAAAAAAAGAGAAAGTAAAAGAAAATATTTAAAAAAATTAGTTCAGAAGAAGATAATCCACAACCTCTAAAAAACTTTGATGTTTTTAACAAGAAAACATAATCTAATTTTTAATTAAAAAAAAGTTCAAGCTTTGATATTGTAAGAATTAGTCTTATGAACCTAACAAAAACATGAATTTTATATATAAAAAAAAAAAAAACTCAAAAGACAATATACTCATATATTATTAAAGAAGAAAAAAATTGGAAGAAATAATTTAGATATAGGATAGATAATAAACTAAAATAACTATTATTAAATACAAAGAAGTTACAAAGTCTTAAGGAAAGACTAGAGTATAAATAAGGCATTAATAAGATTTAAAAGAGTATCATTTGTGTCTCCATGTATATTAGCTACAAAGAAGATCTTGTAGAAGCCTTGTAAGGACCACAAGACTTATGATCCAAGCATCAAGTTGTAGATTGCTTCCAATGCAGTTTTTTAAAATTAGATAATTTATGAAGAAAATTTTAAATAACTACATGACATATCTATAGGAATCTAATAATCTAATATGTATCTAAGAAACTTCTTTAAAGTTTAATAAAACTATTACCTACCTAAAATATTCCACTTACTTCTATTTACTTCTATTTATTTAAGTAATATAAGTATATCTATTATAATATACTTCTTAACATTTTAATTATATTACTTGAATGTAGTTTTAAAAGCATCAATAATAATTAAATGTCTAAATATTATTCTTGCTCTACTATAAAATATTATTGATGGTTCAAAGGACATATCAATAACCTTAGTACAAATTTTATATAAAAGAGAAATGAGAGTTGGAACGGAACAATGTTTCATTTCTTTTTACCCTTTGGATCAAAACAGAAACAGCATGGAACAGCAGGGACGGACGAACGAACGAACAGATGGGGGGGACGAGAAGGAGGAGAGGGGATGGGAGCGAGCATTTGGTGCTGCATGTCGTCCTCGTGGTCGTGTCTGTGGCTGGTGCTGCTGCTGGGAGGGAGGGAGGGGGTTCAGGGTGCCACCACTGACTGCCATCAGCAGAGGAGGAAGCAGGAGGGACGACAATACGAGCAGGAGCAGGTGGAGAATCCGCTGGTGGAGGGAGGGGAAAGCAAACGTTGGCCTTCTGCATGCAGTTGCAGGGCTTGCCGTGACTTCTCCAACACCACTAGGCGCATGTTGCTTGCCATGTGGAGGGAGCATCCAGCATCGACGTCCTCCAGTGGATCGCATCTGATCCTCCCCAGCACCCCAAGCGCATAACTCGATCTTTCAGCTTGTGATCCTGACACGCTCATGGTCGACTTCGCAATTCCTGGTGTCGTGAATAGGTCTGTGCCCCCACCTTCGAAGCCTCTGCGAAGCTTACCTTCGCAAGCGGTTAGACCGGCTCTCTCACAAACGGATGGGTGAGGCTGATTCTTCCAGCTGCGTTTCCGGTGATCGACTCGCATTACCATGCTGCAGCCTCTCCAATTTTGATCTTTCTCGAATCCAGCCCTTTCTGATAAATGTAGGTGATTGAGAATCCGTTTGCAATCTCGTTCTGCGTATGAACCGGGCATTGATGACGATAGTCCAGCAAACTCAATATCGATGACGAGGACGTCTAACGGAGAGATTCTTGTGTTTTGTTTTATTGCTTTTTTAATTTTTTACCCGTGACGTCGGAGTCATCTGGGCAGGCTAAAAGAGACGTATTGAAATCCCCCCAGATGGATGCAGGTACATGCCGATCTCATGGCAGGGGCCTCCACAACTTTAGCCGATGAGGGATCTCACCTCGTGATAACTCCGTGTTTTTTTCAGTTGCGTACCTAACTAAATCGACGGAGGTGGGACACCAAAGAACCGATCAGCATCTAGAGCTTTCCGAGCTGTTGTCGGAATTCTGGATGTGACAAAGAAGAAGAAAATTTCCACCACGCCTCGTGGCCACAAGATTGACTTGGAGGATTGATTTGGACGCTATATTCTACTTTGTCACATGGCACATTTGTTCGCTTGTCAATGGAATCACTGGAATTTGCAACTAGTTGCTCCACTTTGTGATGCCACTCCTCGATCAGTTACCATATGTAATGCACTTTGTAATGCACTTTTCGGCGAGAAATTTCTATAAGACCTTTTCCAGTCATTTTATTTCGTCTCTCTTTCCCAATCAAGACAAACTTCACATTTTCCATTGCAAGGCACTACCGTCTGGATGCCAGTGCTCATTAAACGCTGACGTTTTAGGTGATTCCTAATAAGACTTTTTTCCTGATGGAAAAGATCGTGAGGCTGGGCATTCTAACCCCAAATTGTTCCGCTGATCCAGATATCTTCGCAGAACTCAATTAGTGCATGTTCACTTCAAAGCTCAGGCGCATCTGTAAAGATGAATCGCTGGACAGTCCAGCATCAACCATGTCAAACGGTTCATTTACAAGTCTACACTCTGATCTGCCAAGTCCAGCTTGACAATTGGTATCTCTTGTGGGACACCTGACTTTCTCGATGCTCTCACAGCACGTGCAATTCTGTGGCGCACATTCGCAAATTTCCTGTGGAGTTCCGGGATCGGAACCAGTTGTTGGGATCGGTGCAAATAATGCTACATTTGACAGCTTCGAAGACTGGTCTCAAGCAGGCCAACACGACGTCAAAAGATCAACACAAATGTATTTTTGGAATATATTGTTCCGACAGAGATTATGCTTACTGAGCAGCTCTTAGCGCCTCAGGAGACAAAATGCTATTCACAGAATGCGTATATACTTAACCAAGCCGTGCGTGTGCTGCTGATTCACGTGACTTTCACGAGGAATCAAGAAGGTTGTGATTGTGCAATGGATCCCCCACCATGACCATCAGTTGCAAACATGTTCCTCATGCAATCTGATCATAATTCCTGTTAACGCGGATGCTCTAAAAGGTATCTACAACCACCACAGATTGCCGGATGGTAATTTTCTCAGCTTCTCTGGCACATTTGTCTTAGCTAGGAAAGTTCTCTTTTCGTCAAGGGTTCAATTCCAAGGACCCAATTGTCCAGAATTTTACAAATATTCCTAGACATCTCAGTGACGTATTCTGTGGCTTAAAGAATTTCAGAATTTCTCCGTACAGAGATTACTCGGATGCAAGAAGAATGAAAATATCATTTGCCGCAAAAGGAAATTTATAATTTCAACTTTGTGTAATAACTAGATTCCAAAGACATGCATTCCTAGATTCTCAAGTCAGAACGACCTTGACAACATGCATGTGCCTGCCACATGATCAGCAAATGCCTCGAACGACCTTTCGGCAGCGAAGTCCTAAATAATTCATTGTCATTTTCCCTCTCCTTTCGAATGACTCTTCTGCTCAGATATTACCGCTCTCTTGGGATCGCCAGCACTCTTCCGGCACAGGCGACCTTCTGTAACGTAGCGAAAACTGCCTTCATGGCACGATGCTCTGGAACAAGGAAGCGCCGAATAATACAGGTCCAGCTTTGAATGAACCTCGAGTACACATTTCAAGGTGGAAGGCTATTTTGTTTGTTTGTTTTTTTTTGTTTTTGTTTTTTTTGTTTGTTTGTTTGTTTTTTTTTTTTTTTTTTTTTTTGTAACATGGGGTCACCTCTACAGGACAGCTGCCCCACTTCTACCTGTGGTAACTGTGGCACAGCACTCAAGTGACATTAAGCGGTAGTTGACAGCAGTTTCAGCAGAGCATAGATCACATCTTCGAAGCTACTAGCCATGCAGACACGCTATCTGCAATTAGTCATGAAATGCACAGTTTCTTTGTCAAACCAAGTCCAGTTTCGGTAAGGTTTCTAGACTCCCATTTTTAAGGAAAGCCGCTGTAATGGTCACTTATGTGCTTAACAATTAATTCCGAGTTTGCATCCGTTCACTAGACAACTGCAATCGAGGAAATGTTGTAATCGAGCAAGTACTTCGACGAATGCATGTCCAATCACGTGACGGATTGCATGATTCTGAATGTTTCTGCATGTTGGTAGTTGAAGGGCCTTAGAAACAATGGCTGTGAAAGTTTCACCCTTGGTAACCAAATCGGGCCACGTCGCTCTTGTTTCTCGCTGGAACACTCTCTGGCGTTCACTCGCAGTCACTCTCTGTCTCTCTCTCACTAAGGCTGTCATTATTTGCATTGCATGGCTTCAGTTTCATCTGGGTTTTAAGCCTCACGATGCTTGAATAAAGATGCACTTGGAACCCACACTATGCAGTTCTCTACAAACTTACACTAAATCTTCTGCTCCTGAATCTTTCCACTTCCCTCGCGAAAACTGGTCAATGTGTAAAATAAATATATATATTTTTATTTTTTTTATAGACCTAATGATAAATGAATATTACAAGTGTCTCTTGAAATTCGTGATGATTAAAATTGCAGACATTTTAGAGATTGATCCTAAATATTTTGTTTAGAAAATAATAAATAAAAGACAAAAACATGTTTTAGTGTGTTCTTTTAATTATGTAATACTTACTTTATTTTCTTGAAATGAAAGGTACAAGTACAATCACAGATACAAAATAACAGTATTATACATTTATTATTACATCATATGAAATTATGAAAGTAGTGAAATATAAAAAATGAAAAATAAATAAATCAAACCAATTTCCTGCAGTCTTCTTCTCTATTTCTACCGTCAATGTTTACTATGACATACATATTGTAAACGGTGAATATCGTAAAAATATAAATAAAAATCAGTTAGTATCAACATCATTTGAATG